TAAATTTGAATGTCTTTAAACTGGACACAGACACACACTTTCTGCCTCCCCACGGGCCCCACAACTCCCTACAGCAATCAAACACTAGGAAGAAGAAAACCAGTTTTACCGAATACCTTCCAGACATTAGGCTCTATGTAAATATTGGCTTATTTAATCCTTCCGGCAACCCCAAGTGGGTGACATTGCTATCCCTGTTGTCCAGTAGGAAGACCGAAGCACCCCGAAGTCAGGCAACTTGCTCCAATCACGCAACTACCATCAGCAAGCCATAAACCCAGAATCAAACCCGGGCTTGCCAGATTCGGAGGTCCACACTAGTTCCATGATGCCATTAGTGAAGGCAGTAAGTCTTGCTTAGGCTCTGCACTAAGGAGGCCGCTCTGCAGCAGCGTGGGAGAGAATTCAGAAAGGCAGGAAGGGGAGTGAGTGCACGATTAGGGTAGCACAGGGAAGAGGGTCCGCGGACCCATGAACTCAGGTAGCAGCCCTGGGGGTAGACAGTGGGTCAGGATCAGCGGGGAGGAGACAGGCCTGGGTGGAGGATGGGGACTGAGGGCAGGCATTGATCTCTGCCTGGGTTAGGGAGAACACAGAGGAAGAGGGGGCTTGGGACGAGTATCTACGGGGCTCGTCAGCGCGGGACCATGTGGCACCCTCCAGGGAGATGGGCAGCAGCTGCAGAGCAGGCTGGCGACAGAGGATTACCAGGCCCTGGAAGCCTTCAAAGGGAGATCCCAGCAACGCAGCAGGTGCACGCACTGAGTGAGGAGGAGAGCACAGGTGCAAGTGCGGGCTGCTCTTCTGGAAGCGTCGGTGAAGGGAGAGGACCGGGCCTGAAGACACAGGGGACCTTACTGTTTAACAGAGACGGTTGTGTGGGGGAGGGGAAGGAGTCAGTTTTGAGAGAGTAACGGAGGGAACCGGCTTGTCTGGGAGGGAGAGAGCGCCGAACCAGGGCCGTAGGTGGAGAAGGCGCTCTCCTGGTGCGCGGTCAGACGGCATCTCTTCCTTGAGAAGCTGAGGGGGGCACTCAGGGATACTCTGAATTGGCCAAGAGTAGACGCTGAGGGAGCACACGACAAAAAACAAGGCCTGGGATCTGCAGAAACTCAGTGAGGCGGGTTCCCTCCCCACACACAGCCCAGGAGGGATGCCCACTGGCTGTCATCCACCATGGGGCCCAAAAGGGAGTGGCGTGGGGGAAGGCAGAAGACGGTGGGCGGAGGGGGGATGCACGGAGATGGAAGGAGACTTGGCGGGGGTTGGGGAACACACACAAAGCAATATACAGAAGATGTATTGTAGAATTGTACTCCTGAAACCTGTATCATTTTATTAACCGATGTCACCCCAATAAATTCAATTAAATAAAAACACTGGGCCCACAGGCCCTGCGGGCACCGTCGGGTGCACCTGCTTCTGCTATGGGCCATCTAAGCACCACCACCTGCCTCCAGATAACAACACGCAGAGAGCGCTCATCAGTGTCACTGCAAGTGGACTTCGAATTTTTCTGTCAACAGTGATGAGTCTTTCTACTTCTATTTCTTCCCTGGCCCTCCAGCCCATTTCCTCACAATACAGGCAGGGCTCGCAGGGGTCGCCCAAGTCTATTGCTGACAGACCCTCCAAATAAATCTTTCCTCTGGGCAAAGTGACAAATTCGCTGGGCTCCAACCCTGGCCTCGGCAGAAGCAGGAGCCCACCGGCCCTGGGGATGGCTCCTGCCCCGTGGCACGTTCCCCTCACCCGAAACCACACACAGAGAGAGGCCCGCCGGCTACACTCTGCTGGAGTGAGAGCTCCTGCCCCAGAGAAACCACAGAAAAAGTTGCCACCTGGGCAGGAAAAGCTCCTCAGAGGCTGGGTCAGCCACTGCCACCCACTTCCCCTGGTCTGTCAGCTCTTAAAGAATCTGTCAGTGGCAAAGGTGTTAAGCAGCCTTCAACCGAACGCCTTTCTGGTTCCCTCGCCCGCCTCCTGCCTGGAACTCTGTCTTCCTCCAGCCTGAATACTATGAGAGAAGCACAGCGTCTGGGGTCAGCAGGCTTGGGCTGGGGTCCTGGCTGGCCCGGCATGCTATGACATCTTTCAAGTCTCGTCTGAGCCCCAGCTTGTAACCAGGTAAAGTGAAAGAAACACCGTCTCCCTTCTCTCAGGGAGGCAGTGAAAAGTTCAGATGAGACGAGCTATTTGTCAGTTGTACAGTGCTATTCCGACCTCTGGAATCTAATAAGCAAGTCCTGCCAGTGGCCTAACCTCTCTCCTCCGCAAGGCCCCGTGCAGCCCATGTTCCCGGCCGTCCGTCCCTGGCAGCCCAGAGCCCATGGGAGACACATTTCCAATGAATTCAATGCCAGCGTTTGCTTAGGCCTGCTCTGTGCCAGATTCCCGAACTCAGACAGGAGCAGGTACAGAACTTGCTCCCTGTGCGCTCAGCTGGGTAGAGCTAATAGAGCGGGCGTCTGTCCATGCGGTGGCTACGGTACCTACAGGAGGATCTGCTCCACGTGGCGGCGACAGACGACGCAGGCACTGCTAGAGCCTGGGTCGCCTCGCTGATCCCCGGACTGAGGAGAGTGGCGCAGATTCAGTCCTCTGAGAAACCAGGCTAAGGAGCCAGGGGCAAGAGGAACCAAACACCTTGCAGGGCCAGGCCTGGCCCAGCAGTGGAGCCGACAGGCTTACTGCGCTCTCAGTGCCGCATCCTCACCATCTGGAAGATGTGGAGGATAGACCTGCTTTGGCCTGGCTCCCAAGGATATCATGGAGGACAAAACGAGGACTAAATGACAAGAGCAATGAAAAAAGGCTTTCAAAAGGAAAAAGCTTTAAAAACAAGGAATTACCATTCTTTCTTCAGGGTCCTCCCCTGTAAAGCTGAGATAATCACCAAAGGTCTGCGTAAAAGCTGACAAGCCTTTGCCACCGCTAGCCAAACAGGACTGACTCAGAGGCTTCCATTCCACCTCCCTCCCTCTGCAGCTCATCTCCACGGGAATATCTGAGTCGCTACAGGTAGTCCTTCCAGGGGGTGGAGCCGGTCTCCTTTCCACATTCTTCAGGCTGCCCTGCCACCCACAGCCCGGGCACTCAGGACGGGAAACACTGCCCATCCAATCCCTGCTGCCCCAGACCTCGGCCCAGAGAACCTGAGAAAGTCACCTCCCCTCCGGCAGGACTTCCAGAAGCTGGATCCGACAGCAGGCTCTGGCCTGCCTATGTCCAAGACCCAGAGAAGGGGATTCCAGGATCCCAGAGCCAAACCATTCCACGGAGTTCAAAACAAGACAGCAACGAAAACAACAAAAAGCCTTCAGAGAGGCTAGACGCTTTTTGCTTTCATCTCATAGTCATCTTTTCTGAAGCACCTTCTGTCTCTTGTGTTCAGATTAGAGAGTAGAGTTGGGGAATGGGAGTGTTTAGATAAGGTTTTCACCCAAACCGGTAGCTGTGCTAACACCCCTGTCTTGGGCTGTGTGCATAAGGCAGAGCAGGCAGCTGCACTCCGGATGTGAGAAGTCCAACCCAGTCTTTCCCTGCCTAACGTTATTTCACACACACCCAGAAGGAGTCTATTCCCAGGAGCGTTTCAACCCATTTCTTTGCATGTTATGTCTTTCACAGCCCTTATAAAATGCAAATATCTCTGAAGAAGGAAATCGTATTCCCCTGGCCCTAGCCCAGTTCCCATACAGCACCTGTGCCCAGATGCTTACTGAATTAATTAAATCGGTTACTAGATGCCTGTCCCCACAGGACACGGGTCAGGGCCCAGGGCTGTGGGGGATGCAGGGGGGAAGCCAGGCCAGGGAGCCACGCCTCATTTCACCAACTTCAGGCTGGCCCAGAGCAGGCCTGCCTGCCACAGCGAGATAACTGAGTTCCGATGAAAGTAAATCTGAAATAGCCAAATATGGAAACTCTGCAGGAGGGAGCAGAACCAGCTGAGAAAGTCTGCAAGCAGCAGTGAGGTGAGCAGTCAAGAACGTGCTCAGAATTGCCAAAACCCTGCAGAGAGGTAACAAGGGGCGGCAATGTGGCGTGGAGAGCCCAAAGAGCACCAAATCTCTGCGTGTCCCTGGGACTCATTTCGCCCCCGAGTCTTGGTTTCTTGCAAGAGCCCTCTGAACACACTTCGCGTGCGTGCGTGTTGGTGTCTAAATGAGCACGCTCAACAAAACAGTTCGAAGAGGTTTCCATTCAGTCCACTACTAAAGTTTCATTCTGGAGTGTTCTGGTTGGAAAGTTTTGCAAAAATGGAGGGAGTGCCCTGGCCGGTGTAGCTCAGTGGGTTGGAGCGTCGTCCTGTAACCAAAAGGTTGCGGGTTGATTCCGTGTCAGGGCACCCATTTAGGTTGCCGATTCATCCCCCGTCGGGCGCGGGGCAACCAGTCCATGTTTCTCCCTCCCTTCCTCTCTCTCTAAAAGCAACGAAGAAAAAAAAAAAAAAGTCCTCAGGGGAGGATTAAAAAAAAAAGTGGAGGGTGTGCCTAAGGGTATGGAGGGCGTACCTAGGCGTTGGGGCGCGGGAATGCGGGGAACATGCGAAAGTCCTCCGCCTGTGAATCCCCCTTGAACCTGGCCCCTTTAATCCACAGCCGCGCTTTGGAGCCGATCCCCAGCCGGGGACCCCAGTCTCCGTCCTCGCCACACCCCTTCTCCGCTAGGAAAGCCCGCTCCGGGGCTCCGGGACCCATTTGCCCCCACACCGCACCCTCTGAGCATCACCGGCCACGGCCTTGCCGACCTGCCCTGGCCCTTGCCGGGCCGTCGTGTCGTCCCCTCCGCCCGCGCCCTCCGCTCCCGGTCGGGGACCAGCCGGAGGCCCCAGCAACCCGGCGCGGGGCACCGGGGGTGGCTGCGAAGCTCTTGCCGCCGCGGCGCTTTCGATTTCAAAGTATATGGGACAAACCGAAAAGCGCTCCTGAGTCCCCTCACTCCAGCCCTACAGCCGAGGGGACTTCACCCCCCAGCGGCGACCTGTCGGGACTCACCTGTGGCTGCGCGAGCGGGGCTCCGCCGGCACCAGTCCGCAGGCTGCTGGGCTCCTCCGGGCAGCGGCAGGCCACGGGGAGGCGGGGCGAGGATTCTCGGCAGCCTGAGCCAGCTCTCGGCCCCGCCCACGAGGGAGAGGGGCGGGACCGAGGCCTGGGGGCGGGCCTGGGGCGGGGCTCCGGGGAGTGGTCCGAGAGAGGCCCGCAGGACCCGGGCCCCGCGAACGCGCTGGAAGATGCTGGGCAGGAGGCTGGAGAGTTACCCTGGCAATTAGAACTTTAACCCACCCTCGCTAGACTCATTAATATCTATAAATAAAAATTATCTCTAATTTCTCTCAAGTGGGTTAGAACAGAGCACATCTTGTACAGTGAGTACAAATTTGCCAGCCCTCCTTGCTGCTGGCCTCTGCAATTCCTTAGAGTTGGAGAGCTTGCCCTTGTACCAAGGGCTTCCCAAGCATTTCTTTCGATCCTCAGAACGACCTTTTGAAGTAGACCTGGTCATCCCATTTCACAGATGAGCTCTCTGAAGCCCAGAGAAGTGACAGGCAGTTATGTGCTGAAAGTTAGACGCTCAGCAGGTGCTATAGCTACAATTTGAATGCAGCTCTCCCAACTCCTAAATAAGAGGTTCTTCCTTACACTACTCTCCATGAGCATATGTTCTGGATGTTAGCATTCTCTATAAATCTCTGTGAAAATGGCACAAAAAGAGCATGGACTTCAGATGGAAATGGACCAGAATTTCAATCCTAGCTTCTTCAGTTTCAGTTTGACAACCGTGGAAAAGTACTTAGCTGCCCTAAGCTTCAATTACTCATCAGTAAAAGGGGAGAATAATGACATGGAGCCAGACAGGAAACATACAGCGGGTTGGCGGTGGGGTGGGGGGTGTCCTGGGGAAGGGGAGGAACTTCGGTGCAATGGAGAGCACTTACAGGGTTTGAGGGAGCAGCCAGGCTCAGTGCCAGCCAGGCCCTACCTGTCTCTTGTTTTTCAGCAAGAGCCAGAAATTCAGATTCAAACCTTCTGGTTGGTGAGCCAGATTAAGCACTCCCAGTGGAAATGAGACCCGTGGGCATCACTTCGGGACTCTAGATCCACCTCACTATCTTGTGAGAACTAAATGAGATGACATTCCTGTACTCCTGACCGAGAGCAGAGTTCTATGAACCTTAGTAACTCTCCCTGCTCCCTGCACAGTATACTTTCACTTATGGTTACCTACTTCCTCTTCCCTTCTCATTACCCACTCTCACCCCAGCACACTGTAAGTCAATATATTTCGTAAAGGTGTATGTCCTTTTAGTGTCTACGAACAGGGATGTCCAGTCTGCATATATGCGGGAATGTGCAGGGCCTTTGGTACTGGCACTGACTGAGTTACTTGTCTCTCCCCACCCGTCTTCTCCAACAACTGAATAAAACAGTCGATTCGTTTCAAGGATGTTACCTAAGCTTTAAATATAATGGAATCAGATGCTGGGGTACATAGTGAATCGCGGTGGTGGCGAGTATGGGCCACATGACTCCAGGGCTAGGAGTCTAGGTAGAAAGGTGGAAGAACGTTAGATGGCTAGTAGTTGGAAGTCAAGGCCATTTTCCCAGGGCTCCTTGCACATCGCAGAATCCTAGGTGGAGCATCTGGCAGAACAGAGAGGACAAAACTTGGGAGCTACCCCAGTCTGATGGAGGAGACATGATCCCTTTCCTCAAGTATCTTGAAGAAAGATGGGAAGAACAGTACCTAAATGTACACATAATACAAACATTATATACTTGCAGTTATAGCTATGATTTATTGTCTTATTACATACCAGGCAATACATTCTTGCTTTATCCATATTAACCTGTCTAATCATCAGCACTATTTTATAGACGAGGAAACTCACCTCTTGAAATTTTTACCCCAAATCGCCAAATTCTTAGTTTGGGAGAGATGAGATTTGGACATGAGAAGTCTGATTCTGGCGCTCTTAGCCACTATATCACCCTGCCTCTCAAAGAAATGGTTGGTGTGAATTCAAACAAAATAACTAAGAAGGAGACAAATTTTAGCGGTTTTAGTGCTCTCAAAATGTTTACAGTAAACAGAATCCAACCTTGAAACTAAATTCATCTACAAAAATAAGGGCAGGTTTGAACTGTACACTAAATTTTTACACAGGAGAAAAGGGCTAAATTTTTGGTTTCTTCTAAACATCCTAAGATTACCCTGACTTCGTAAAAACGTGGTTTTCTGCGGCTTGGCTGGGTAAACTGAAGAGATTGCAGCCCCGGCAGAGAAGAGATGGTGCAGATGGAGGGAGGAGGGCGCCACCTACTGGAGTAAATAGATGGATACATTATTTTCCTCAGGCTGCCCTTGGGTGACAAGACTGATCAATGCAGTGGGTTCTTTAAGGCGAGGTTAAAAGGTCCTATCTTCCATCATTTAGAGATTAGTGAGATCAGACAAGGAGGAAAAATCCTCTCCTTGGGGCTTGGATTGCACTTCTAACTTCCATTGCAGGTTACAATGGAAAGTCTTTGCTCGTAATGGAAAATGTGGTAGAGCAGAAACCACTCTCAGGCAAAGCCTCAGGGGCCTGAACACAGAGCATGCTCCCTTGCTGACTAAGTAGGTCCTGCACTAGCAAACAAACAAACGAATATCTGTGACTGGTCTGTATTTAATTCCTTGACCTAGTGATATGCTGTCCCTTTGCTTTCACCTTCATAACCTTTACCACAGCTCTGCCTGCCAGTGTGCTGATCGCACCTCAAGAAGAGAGGCAGGGAGTGTGGGGCGGGGTGGGGCTGGGGGGCATGTATTTCTTCCAGCACTGATGTAATTTAAAACAAAAAGACTTCTTTTTCAAAGACTCTTTTTCCAAAGATACATCTATAAACATACCGCAGATTATTCACCAGTTCATCTTCTGAAGGACATCCTGGTTGCTTCCACATTTTGGCAATTATAAATAAAACATTTGTGTGCAGGTTTTGGTGTGGGCATACATCCTCTGTATGTGTGCACACAGCAACTGCATTTTTTGCTTAGGAGTTCAAGAAAGACCATGTTTTCTGTCCTTTGTCCTACTTGCTTCACTCTATTCTTACTTATCAATGTATAGGCTCAATGTATATTTGAAAACAAAAATCAGACATGTTATTCCTGAGGTTAGGTGCTGTATTCTGTATTTGTTCTAGGGTGATCCCCACTCGATACATATACTCACCCCTCCCATGCTCCGTTCATGGTTTCATTGTCTGATAGTCACCCTTTTTGTTGGACAAATGAGATTTTTATTGTTTCAAAACTGGACCTGCTGTCTTCATTTGTACCGCTTGGCTAAATGTGGAGTCTGTCCATTCTGAGTTCCTTTGTTGAGATTCACACATCAGTCCCCATTAGCGCTTGGAAAACATTTTAACATATTAACTTTGCATAGTCACTGTAAGGCGTTAAAATATATTTTAAGGTTGTTATTTGGCCTTAGGAACCATGAAGTAAGATTTATTTGGCACAATTTGGTTTTGTTAGATTTTGTAACACATTGGTAACAAGGAAGACTATTTTGGGGTATTTCTTCTCTTTGAGAATGGTGCTTATATGGGGAGATTTTAAACAATGGTCTGGTAACTCTGGTTAGCTACAGCCTCCCTTTCAGAGAAAACAGGACAGAAGGAAACACATGAGCTCAAGAAGGGCTTAGGCTGGAAGAAAAAAACGGACAAAGTTCCAATGTCTCTGACTCCAGCACACCTCAGTGTTCCACGACCTTGTCCCTCTCCCCTGAAAATCGCCCAGCAATCTTCTATAGGCACAATGAGGGTCTCTCATGCGATACACCATCTGGGGCTGCTGCATCCATTGCTCGTGATTTTTTGTTTCATACGTTTTCTTTTTCCTTTTTAAACAACTTTACTGTTCTACTTTCAATACCACAAAATTCACCCAATCAATGAATTTTAGTGGAAGCGTACTGTTCTGCAACCGAGACCACGATGAAAGGTCAGGACAAGTCGGCCACCCGTCCCATCCTTTGGCAGTCAACTCCCAGTCCCAGGCCTTGACTCGGGCAAGAGAGGGTCTGCTTTCTGTTTCTATGGTTTTGCATTTTCTGAAAATTTCATATAAATAAATATGTAATATTCTGTGTCAATCCATATAATGTTTTTGAGGGTCATTCATTTTGCTGCATATATCAGTACTTTCTTCCCTTTTATTGCTGCGTAATTTGCCATTATATGAATACACCAATTTTTGTTTATTCACTTACCACCTAATAGACATTTGGATTATTTCCAGTCTCGAGCTATTATCAGGAATGCTGTTATGAACATTTGAATACAGGTGTTTATGTGGACATACATTTTCATCTTTATTTAGGTAGACACCTAGGAGCAAAATTACTGGGTCTTATTGTACATGTACATTTAATCTGTTAGAAATTGTCATTTTCCAAAGTGGCTGTATCACTGTATCATACTACATTTCTGCCAGCCTTATGAGAGGGTTCCAGTTTCTTCAAAGCCCTGACAACAGTTGGTATTGTCAATCTTTCAAAATATTAGACATTCTTACCCTTGCCAAGGTGGCTCAGTTGATGGGAGGGTTGTTCCATGCACCAAAAGGTTGCAGGTTCAATCCCTGGTTGGGGTGCATACAGGGACGACTGATTGATGTTTCTCTTTCATGTTGATGCTTCTTTCTCTCTGAAATCAATTTTAAAAAAATCCTTAGGTGAAGATTAAAAAATGTTTAAAATATTAGTCATTTAGTGGTGTTTTAAGTACTTGATTGTGGTTTTACTTTGCATTTCCTTTATGACAAATGACATGACATCTTTCCATACATTCATTTGCCATTTGCTTATCTTCTTTGGCAAATGTCTATCCAAATCTTCTGTCTATTGAATTTTTTTGTCCTCTTATTATTGACTTATTAGAGTTCTTGAGTTCTAAGTGTTCATTATATATTCTGGATACAAATTGTATATCAGATACATGTTTTGAAAATATTTTCTCCTGGTTAATGACTTGCTTTTTTATTTTTTTAATCAGATCTTTAGAAAAGATTGCTTACAATTTTGATGAAATCCCATTTATCAATTTTTTTCTATTATGGGTTATACTTTTGGTGACAATTTTTCCATACTTTCTTCTAGAAGTTTGTAGTTTTAGTTTTTACATCTAGGTCTGTGATCCATTTCAAGGTAATATTTGTGCATGGTATAAAGTAGGGATTTTTAAAAATACAGATATGTTCTTTCTGCTGTTAAAGTACTCTGTCACCTTCATTGAAAGTCGATGAACCGTACAGGTGTGAATTTACTTCTGGACTCTTTATTCTGTTCCCGTGCTCTGTGGTCCATCCTTAAGCCAGTATCTCACTGCCTTCATTACTGCTGCTTTAGAACTAGGATGCAAATGTTAGTTTGAATCACAGTTTTGCAAAAGAGGAGCAAAATCGGGTTCTTCTTTTGCAAAATTGTTTTGTTTAGTCTCAGTTTCAGGTTGGTGCTTGTTTTTATAAACAAAGTTGTACTGACATTGAGCCATGCCTGTTCATGAACTACGTGGTAAAGATGGATAGTTACAACAGAGATTGTGTGGACTGCAAAGACTAAAACAATTACTGCCTTGCCATTTACAGGAAAAGTTTGCTGGCTCCTGGTCTAAGCCCTTTGCATTATTATATACGTTTTGGAATTAGCTTGTCAATTTGTACAAGACATGCTGGTTAAGATTTTGACAGGGATTGGGTTGAATCTATGTATCAGTTTGAGGACGACTACCATCTTAACAATATTAAGTCTTCCAACCTGTGAACAGGTATAGCTCTTCATTTATTGAGGTCTACTTTATTTCAGCAATATTTTATATATTCCAAGGAACGTGTCTTTCACATTTTTGTTACATGTGCTCCCAAGTATTTTATTCCTTTTGATACTATTGTAAATGAAATTGTTTTCTTAATTCTATTTTCAGACCATTCCTCACTACTACATAAAAATACAATTGATTTTATATTGATCTTGTGTACTGGGGCCTTCTTAAACTAACATTATTTCTACTATGTTTTTACATGTCAGATCATGTCATCTAAAATGAAGACAATTTTTGTTTTTCCTTTCCAACCTGTACCTCTTTATTTTTCTTTCCTTGTGGCCTTGGCTAAGAGTCTCCAGTAAAATGCTAAATAAAAGTAGTAAGAGCAGACATCCTTATCTTGGTTCCAGTCCTGGGGGAAAGCATTCATTTTTCTTTGTTTCTTTCTTTTTAAGCATATTTTATTGATTATGCTATGACAGTTGTCCCATTTTTTTTCTCCCTTTTTCCACCTCTGTCCTGCATGCCCCCTCCCTCCAGCATTCCCCCGCCTTAGTTCATGTCCATGGGTTGTACATGTAAGTTCTTTGGCTTCTCCATTTCCTATACTATTGTTAACCTCCCCCTGCCTATTTTGTAGCTACCAATTATGCTCTTTAGTCCCTGTATCTTTTCCCCCACTCTCCCTCTCACCCAGTGATCTGCCCCCATGTGATCTCCATTTCTGTGATTCTCTTCCTGTTATAGTTGTTTGCTTAGTTTTGTTTTTTAGGTCCAGTTGTTGATAGCTGTCAGTTTCTTGTCATTTTACTGTTCATAGTTTTGATTTTTTTTCTCAGATAATTCCCTTCAACATTTCATATAATAGGGGCTTGGTGGTGATCAACTCCTTTGACTTGACCTTGTCTGGGAAGCACTTTAGGTGCCCTTCCATTCTAAATGATAGCTTTGCTAGATAGAGTGATCCTAGATGTGGGTCCATGGATGTAGGATGTTTTCAGTTCAAGATGTTTTCTAATTTCTCTTGGAATTAATTTTTTGACCCACAGCGTATTTATAAATGTGCTAATTTCCAAGTATCTGAGAATTTTCCAGATTTCTGTTGATTTCTAATCCCATTGTACTCAGAGAACATACTTTGGGTGATTTGAATCCTTTTCCACTCATTAAAGCATGTTTCTGGAACAGACCATGGTCTATCTTGGAAATATTTCATGTGTACATGAAAAAATGTGTATTCTGCTGTTGCTATGTGGGACGATTTAAAATTTTCAATTAGGTAAATGTAGTTAAATAGTGTTCAAATCTTTTGTATTCCTATTTGTTTGATTTTCATGTTCTGTCAACTGTTGAGAGATGAGTATTGAAATCACAGATTTTAATTGAAGATTTGCCTATTTCTTTTTGCTTTCTGTCAGGGGTCCGTGTGAATTGGAACTTTATCATTATCAAATTACCATCTTTATCTTTGACAATATTCTTTGCTTTGAAATCTTTGACATTAGAAAGGTCACTCCCAATTTAATTCAGATGGTATATATTATTCAGTATATTAGTTTGCTATTGCTGTATAACAAATTACCCCCAAACTTCCTCCAAACACCACTCACTACTTCACAGTTACTGTGGTATTAAGAAATCTGAGTTCTCTGGTGCATGGTCTCTCATAGGCTGCAATCAAGGTGTTGGCTGGGCTATTCATCTTAAGGCCCAAATGGGGAAGGATTCATTTCCAATCACACATAGTTGTTGGCAGGATCGAGTTCCTGACAGGTTGTTATTCTAAGGACATGAGTTCTTTGCTGGTTATTGGTAGAGGGGTGGCCTCAGATCTTTTCTACATGGACTTGTCCAACATGGCAGCTTGCTTCATCAGGCATGAAAGCAAAGCAGGTAATAGCCTACCAACAAGGCAGAAGTCATGGTATTTAAACCTAATGAGACATCTCATCACCTTTGCTGTATTCTGTTGGGTAGAAGTCACCAAGTCCAGCCCACACACACAGAGGCATGAATACCAGGAAGCAAGGATCCTTGGGGGCTGCTCCATATATCCACCTCCAGTTTGACTTTATTATGGAATCCTGAGAATGTGTTTTTCTGCTCTTTTGCCTTTATGAACTGGGAGGTTCCTTAATCCTGTGGGGTTTTTTCCCCCTAATTCTGTTTCCATTTGCCAGTGGCATGATTCCCCAGTTTTCCAGCACTAGTAACGATTATTGTATTTCTTGTCATTTTAGTTGATTTTGGTAGGAAAGAAAAACTGAGGTACAGAGAGAAGTAACTTTCTCAGTGAAAACTGGAGAGTCATGTGGTAGAACTCTTATATATACAAGCCAAGTGATAAACCCCTCATTTTGATTAACCCCAATTTTGATTATTTCCAAACTTTTGGATGGGGCACAGCAAGCATGTGAACAAAGTGTTTTGGGGAATACAGGCCTCTTGAAGCCAAATGCTGCTAATTAAAGCTGTTCTAGGCAGTAAGCTAGATATATCCCCTCAAGAACTATTTTGTATTGTGGTACTATTCAGGATCTTATTGGTTTAACTGTACCTTATGTTTAAATAAGGTTCAGTAACAGAATAACAATGTAACCTTTCTTAAAAAATAATCCAGAGAAATATAAAGCATTCAGGGAGGTTAATCTCTATGCTCTTTACACTTTGAAGATTCCTCCTAGACCTTTCTCTGTCCCCAGTATCTTTTCCTTAAGACACTCTGCTCATCCAAATCCCAGATTTAGGATTCTAAAATGTAAGTCACCACATCGTAAAGACACTCCCTTATCAAAGGACAAGTTTGCTTTAAATCTGGTAATAACAACTTGGCAAACATCTCAATCCAAAACTCACTCCTGGTCTTCATTGTTTTTCCCTTAATATACAGAACTTCTGAGAAAGAAAAGCAAATAATGCAACATGGTCTTTCAGATATGAACTCATGCATCTAGATCACCCCTTTTTAAGTTTTACTCCTGGACTCTATTTTACTAAATTCAGTGCTGCATAGTAGTCCCTCACTGAGGCAGGTAGTTATGATAAAGACTGAGGTTGGTAAGGTTACATGTGACCTATTTTTTCTTAAAAGAAAGCTGCTTATGTATTCCCATAAATGCTGTCAGAAAATAAGGTGGTTTCTTGTAGACATTCTTTAATTTAGCATGGTTCCTCCAATTTCATTCTTGGATTCTTTCTGTATTCATCTACTGACACTTCTTAGGAATGATTATCTATAACAGATGTCTAAATTAAAAAAAAACCTAATATACATGTTTCTTTTTCATATATTTCCTGCAATCAGAGTGTAGTCATCGTTCATCTTGGGGAAGCATGAAGGGAAAGACCCTGCTTTGAGTTCGAAGTCTGGTTATTATTCTCTCTGAGGAGATCCTGGTAAGTGGTAAGACCCCAGTGCGGAGTGATCAGCAGTTATTAACATTTATGGGTAACATACCCTTTTGATAGCTGGAAGAAACATTACAATAATACAATATATTTATTAACTAAACTTGGCACTATAACCAAAGTATTTGCAACATTCTTAATATCCTTGAAAATCATTACTTTTATTTTACTTATTCCCTACACCTATTATTTCTATTGAGAATTTTACATTCTTTCATCTTTATTTTACATTAGTTTACTCAGTTGTAGGATTAAGAAAAAGTTTTGATTATAACTTACCTTTAACCTCCATCCATAATACACTGGGATTAAATTATAGAGAAATTTTTTTATTAATATTACCAGATGTATCAACAGTGCGATTTTAGTTATGTAATGAAAAATAATACTTGGGTGTAGATTTAAAAAAATGATAACCTTGAGATTAATAAAGTGGTCATTAAAAGATTTCTAGGTTTTGCTATCTTTTATAAAAAATTCAGTATTTAGAATTTCACAGTGAAGAGGTCCTAAATTTCGCATACAACATGAAGTTATATAAAAATAGAAGACATAGACATCTTTAACTCTTTAATCCTTTGATTAAGCAGCAAGCATATCACTCTTCCAGGCCAAACACTGCTTAAACAAAAAAGAAAATTAATGACGTGCAAAATATTTACAAAATATGCAAAGCACACAATAAAGACATCTCACTATATACATGTGTCATATTACTACTGAAGCTAAGATTTTTCTACTGTGTGCTCTAGTGTACGTAAATCAAATTACAGCACATCCCTCAGATACAGCACCATGGCCCATGGCTGGGATAGAACAGATTTTAAATGAATCACAATATACGAAACAGCTGGACAGACGCTGGTGCTGACCAACTTGACTGACATATGCCACATACTGTATACTGAAGGCCTACTGACAAGAGACAAGAGACAATAAAAGCTCTATAGTGTGCACATATGCAAGACAACCTAAGTACTTTAAAAAAAGGCTTTAGATATTTTCTTTAGATATTTTGTCCATGACTCTTAAAAGTAAAAATAAGTATAAATTCTTGAATATTAAGTATTTTAAGTTAGGTTTTATCTGGTTACAATCCAGGGGCAGGAACTATTTAAGATGACGCAATGAGAACGACAGACACATCCTGGAAAAAGCTTGAGATTATGCCAGAATTTAAGGTCCTTAACGGAAAAAAAGTGTTCTGAAAGTCAAAATTAAAACTAACCAATGGATGTAAGTTTATAGCTCTTTAAGGCTTTAGAGCCAATGGTAGGGACTATTTCCCCAATAATTTGGGAATATATGATCTCTCAAAATATAAATTAGGCCCATAGATGTTGACTATTCTGTGAAGTGGTTCTATACGTGTTAAGAATGTGAATGTGCAAACATTTAGCTTTAAGTTTCACTAGTATAGCAATCTGAGTGATCTGTCCCTTTGCACAAGTCATGATTCCATTACGAAATCATTGTATCAAAAATATTAGTAACATATTGTTGAAATACAATCACTTGTAAAATATTCTTTGTAGGTGCTTAATGATTATGTGTTGAATAAGAAGACTTGAAATTTTTTTCTTTATAAAAAGGGATCTCAGCATTTTAAGTTAACAGCACAATTGTGACAATATACTGATACATCTTTAGATAACACAGAACAAATTCTTAAATTTATTTTATAAAATAATGCTGACGATTTTACCTTAAACCAAACCAGGCCATACAGGTTGGCTGCAAGAAATACACAAATGTATCCAAATAGTACAATAGAGATTTATCAAGAAATCATCATTTATATTTAATGCAGACCATATTAATAAGGGCAATTTTAAGTTCAGAACTTAAACACAAAAAGGGTATTGTAATAAATGCTTCCATTCACTATCTCGACATAACTGACAAAATATAATTCTTTTCTAAAGTCCCCAGATGTAGGTAACTACTAGTTAAAAGCAGACAGCATTTAGAAACATTGAAAAAAAAAATCAAAGTTAACTTCATTTTCAAGGAACGTAAAGACACTGTACTGTACTTTAACAAATTAAGTCCTCATTTGTATGTAAAATTATTATTCTGATCCTCTTATTACTGATAGATGATGGGTCAATGACCTTTAAGCAAGGACTTTGCACTAGGACCCAAAGCTCTATTTTAAATGGTTAGTAGGTTCAGTACATTCTTTGTGGTATCACATAATTGCTTTGCAATTGATTAAATTGCTTTCTTTGAAAGGAATATATTAACATTCCTTTAGAAAAAAAAGCAAGATTTCTTTTCGAAAAAAGGGATATGCAGCTATAATTTCTTAAATATGCATTAAATGAAAATATGTCAAAATCTGAAATGCAGGCTATTTATTCTTGCACTCCTAACATAGGAAAATGTTAAAATTAAATTAAAGGAAAAAGAAAAAATGTCAAACACCCTTAACTTAAGAACCTTAAGGAGTTTTCACAATTCCTAAGTCAATATTCCTTTACTAAGAGCCGTGACTATGAAGAGGCAGGAGTATAAAGAAATCTCAATAAAATAAATACAGTAAAAACAAAACAAAAGAACCCTTAGTATATAGAACATTTAATCTTTTTCTTTTCTTCCTTTTATGAGACCATGTTGCTGAACATATACTCTAGGAAGGAGGCTAACTGTAGGCTTTTTCTTATGTAACATCTCAGTTGCGTGAACTAAAAAACTTCTTAGACATCCATCCACTACGCTAGCCCACTGCCACAGAACTAGTTTGCAGCCTCAGTATCTAGGAAGGATTAGTCTTTCCTCTTTTGCATCAGTCAGATGAGCATTGGTATAGTGGTGGGGGTGACAAGTTACTGCAGCTCTGTCCAATTTAATTCTAGTGCAGTGAGGACTGTGAATCTGTCTGAATTCCGATAAGTGATGGAGGCTGCTGACCACCAACCGTGGACAATACTGGTCGTGGGTTTAGACGGGGTGGCATAGAATTAGCAGGGCGAATGAGAGGTGGTGGAGGCTGATTTAAAGTTGGCCGGGGCTGGATGAACCGAGCCTGCTGCTGGAGTGGAGGAGGCTGCCGGTGAAGAGCAGGGGCAGCAGGCAGTGTTGGACGAAGAAGTGGTGGAGGCTGGTTCAGGGTGGCAATGGGGGCTGTTGGTGTTGGAGTGGATGATGGGGCAGGAGGTGATGGACCCAGAGTCCGAGGAGCCTGTGGGGTCTGTGCCTAGAGGTGAGGAAACAAAAATACATGTATGAGATGGTAGTTCCTAATGAACTTAATACAATATAGTTTGGGCTGTCACAGGAAAAACAAAACAAATCAAAACAAAACAAAAACATAACACCGGTATTTTTTGGAAGCACAAGCTTCTTTTATTTTAAACAAAACAAAAAATGGAAAAAGCAATGAAGCTACCAAACAGGCATCTTTATTAGTAAACAGCTTTACACTGGAAATAAAAATAAGACTATGAAAGAACAATACACTCTCCATTCTTCCAGGATGAGAACTTGGCACGTCATTATGACTCAAGAGTCACGAGAGATGCACCACTGAGTAAGTGTATTGTCAGCCTTTCATGCGCATTTAGCTAGTCCTCTGACAAATTAACCTTACAGAACACCACACAAAATGGTGATTCCTCGACTCATATTAGCTCAAATTCCATACACAAACACACCTCCTCTTCTTCATCAGTGCTCTTCCCTGATGGCACATTAGAAGCACTTTTTGTCTCCTCCCCTAAAGTAGAAGCATCACCATTAGAAGCCTGGGTTCCTTGTTCTGCTTCCCACTCCTGCAATACCTCCTCTAAGTTAAACCGACGCCTGTAGTTTACAAAGAAGTTCTTCACTTGGCCAACAGTCTTGTTGCCAATTACATCTGCAATAGCTTGAAAATCTTTACCATATTTGCGGACACCTGGAAGGCAAAGTAAATAATACACCTGGTGAAGGATCAATAAGGATTGCTGTGTGTACTATACATCATGCACACACAAAAGATACCAGCAATGAAAATCCTTTCTGATAAACTCTGCTCATTTCTCAGTTCTGAGATAGAGGCTAAAATATCAGGGTCCCAGATGAAAACACTCAATTATGTCATTTCATCGAGCCAGCTACTTGCCTTCAACTGAACAATCAGAAACTTACCATTTTTTACATACTCAGTTATTTTCTCCAATCCTCTCTTGAACTCTCAAATACAGTCCATTTATTGTAAAGCATTGAATTCTTTGTTCCATCCTCAATTCCACATTCATTTATTTCCCTAGTAGCCAGTCACCTAAATTTGAGCAACACCGTTTGTAAACAAAACAGGATGGGAAGAGCCATCTCTTTTATCCCCTCAATGGACTGAGTGAGTAGTCTTAGGGTTCCCCCATTAAAAAAAACATAGTTTTGGTCTTAATACCAACTTCAGTATGATTACTTGCTACCTCACCAGGGTACCAACAAGTAGAAATCAGATAGGAATTAAAGAGAATTAACACAATCTGATGAACAAAAATGGGAGGGTATTTTTCATAGTTACTTAAATTTCAACTCATCTCATAGTCTAAAGACTCTGTATATGAAGAAGTCCTAGCTATGCTTTGTAGACTTGAGAGCAAGGTTACAGTGTGACTACTTATAGAGCATTGTGCTTGTCATCAATACCTTAAATTTAAGGACAGTACATTCAGTTATTTGAGAACCTAACTTTTCATTATGCAAATTTTATGACAATGAATATTTCATTTATGAATTTGAGATAGTCAATTATGCTACAGAATTTAAAAATGACTTCATATAATCAGATGGCTAATCATCTACTCAAGGGAATTCTGAAAGAAGTTCACGTTTACAATCACAGATGAGAGAATAATATAAGAATATTTTAAGACCCCAGCAGAAATGCTAGATTTGGTATTACTCAATTACCCTAAAGCACCATCATGATATAAGATAATTTTTGTTTTTAAACTCTGCCTTTATTTGATATCGAGAACTTGGGAATAAGTATCTCTTGCTACATTCAACTAGCTGGGCTTGACTCTTAGAGCATTTAGTGGGGTGGAGGAGGGGGCTGTGGAGGTCTGACATTATTAAGTTATAACCACATCCCACTTTATTTAATATAGAGTTTTGGGTATGTAGACTATGCTCTCTTGCTCCATTCTCAAAGGAAGAGGACAGACATATGCATGAAAACATATTATATTTTAGCAATGTAAATTAATTTATATGAAAATCCATGAGCTAATTTACAGTTTTACCTTCATACTAAGTATACATTCTAATGGTGACTAGGTTCCACTGAGGATTTTTTTGGCAATAAAAATCCCAACAATGGGATTGGCAATAAATAACCTAATTCAAGGTTATTTAATATTAGGAATTACTACTATATACTTAGGTTCTTCTCTACTACATACACTTTGGAAAACAGCAACTCATTTGAGATCACTGCACTGAACGACAATTATGAATTAGAAATCAAACACAGTGTTCCAAAGTATCCTAATTTTCATAAAAGGTATTTAATTTACATTCTAGAAATGACCAAGCCTACTGTATATATGAGTTTAGAAACAAAAACCTTAAATAAGTCTGGGATTAGATAGATCTTCTGTATTCCTAGCAAGAAATCACATTAAAACTAACTCTGACTCCAAATCTGAAGATATCACAACCCTCAGAATACCTATTTGCTTGTCAAAATATATTCCAAAACCTACCAAGAAGTTGTTTCCACATAGGTTCCTTTATATAACTATCCCTGCTTCTTCTGAATCTGCTCTTTCTGATCTTCCACTTTATTTTCTCTTGCTCAATGGACTTGACCTTCTCACAATACCGTTGCATTTCCAGAATTACAGATCACTGAACCAAAGTTATTTCCTGAAGGAGCTTTAGTTTTCCCGGACACTTTGGATGTCAAGAACTTTTTCCAAGTCACCTAGGTATGTTTATTATTAACTCATGCATGTCTCATATTAACTACTTTGCAAAAACTTAAGGCTCATACCACACTGCAGACTTTCGTAGCCTAGCTAAGGACCCCAATCATGTCCTGAGAACAAGCGGGCCTAGGTACTAATGCTGCTCTGTCCGCAGGATGCCTGGGCAGGGTCTGGGCATGAGCTAGCATTCCTATCTGTTTGTCCTAGTGCGCTGTAACTCATTTCATAATGTTCTGTTTGCCACAATGGGAAAGCTTGGGGAGTATGGTCCTCCTGACTACACATCAGCACCAGCATTGATACAATGCTGAGTATACAGGAAATGCTCAGGAAATATGATGGACTTTTCTTCCCTATAAGGCTTCATTAAATTTTTCTTCCCCAAACCACAAGGGTCACATACGGGTGACTTCTTTATCACCTTCCCACTCCCAACAGCATTGCTCAACAGCATATTTTGGTAATAAGGTGCAATTCTTAAGCTCTACACAGTGGCCGATAACTAGGCTCACTTTAATAAAACGCCAGATAAAGACTTAATGGAACTGCTCCTTGACAAAACTCCCAGCTAGGCCCCTGGAGGACAGCCTGACAGGGGTAGCAATGCTGAGCAACTAAGTTTAGTAGCAACATATGGCATCAGAGCTCCTTTAATTCCAGTTTGTACGTGGAGGAAGGATGGTCCACTCTTTTTTTTCAGTTTATAGTAAAGAAGGCCACCTGACTACTTTATTAACAAGGAAACTGAATACAGTGATTAAGTCTTCCTCTCTCTCTGAAGGCGTAAAAGGCTTAGGTACATCTGAACCACCATTTAAACTTCTCACCTTTAGGGCAAGAGGCCAGTTTTCAAAGGTTAGTAGAATAAAACTTTAAAGGATCCTGGAAGAGGTAAATTATAAATTTCACAGGAAGATAAAAAAGTTGTTTTCATTCAAATTTCTAAATTTCATTTGAAAGGTAAAAATGAAACAACCTGGCCTTCTATCTGGCAGATGATACCTTAAAATCTTTAATACATACTTTTCAAGTTTTGTATTGGGAATTAACATAAAAATAACTCATTAGGATACTGTATTATCATGACATTTCATGAAAGCCCACATGTTCTAATCAGTATTCTATACTACCCAACAAAAAAACATACATTCATGTTTTTTGAGCTTTTTTTAAGATAGCAACTTGAGAGCATCTGTTATATGGTGCTGCCCAACTCTGGACATGGAATTATAGGCTCTTTTTATTTTCCTTTTACAGAAAGGATATCAAGAACTTGTTTTTCATGTATTTAAAAAGTTATTTTTAGCCCTGGCTGGTATGGCTCAGTGGACTGAGTGCCGGCCTGAGAACCAAAACGTTGCTAGTTTGATTCCCAGTTAGGGCACATGTTAGGGTTGCAAGCCAGGTCCCCATTATGGGACGCATGAGAACCACACATTGATGTTTCTGTCCCTCTCTTTCTCCCTCCTTGCCCCTCTCTCTAAAAATAAATAAATAAAATCTTTACAAAAAAGTTATTTTTAAAATTTGATTTTGGACTACAGAGAAAAAAAGAGCTAAAACCATTACAGTGGTAAGCTACTTCCAGGCAGTGAAATTTTGGAAGATATTTTCCCCTGCTTCTTAAAGCAAAAATTCTTAAATTAAGTAAGTACTTAGTATAATCAGGAAATATTAATTTTTAAAAATATTATTTTGAAATAAAAACACAGTAACATCTAGAAACTCCAAGGGTGTGGTTCTTTCCTATCAACAAGAGATCAATTTTTAAACTCTAATGAAAACATTACTTGCTACCTCCTATAAATACCTCAAGAATTTGTATTAAAGAATGTAAAAAAGATATCAGTAGCAGTGGGGCAGTGATTGGCCCATCTAGGCCAGTGTTAGAAGTCCAAATGATATATTTTTTCCACTCTCTAGCCTTTCTCATCCGAGTCCTATGCTGTCATCTCCCATAGCTGTACATTCAAGTCCACCATAAAAATGCTTAGAAATTTGAATCATTAATTATTTGAAGCAAGTGCATCAGAGGGCTGACAATTATACTTTTGGCCCTCCATTCTTACTCTATCTGTTATAACAGAAGAAACTCTAAAGCACATGGTTGCCTTTGAGATGGAATGATATGAATCTCCTATCTCTACTTCCTTTTGATCATTCACGTACTAGGTTTCAAGCTTTATGCCCTAACCAACTGCCAAATCTCTTTTTCCTCTCCTTTAGGAACCATTCTAGCTCTTTTTTTCTTCTTTTTTAAAGTATAAGACTGAATTGGAAAGAAGACAAGTTCTAGCTTTGCAACTTCCATTTCTCCTAAACAAAATGAATGTATGAACTACAGGGAGAGAAGGTAACATTTAACTATAATCATAACCCCCTTGAACATAGTGCTCTCATTTCTTGTTTTATATGGGAAGGTTGACAATACAAAAAAATTAAATGAAAATTAAAATTGACATAGTGATAAAACTGAAAAAAATATCTGTTTATCCTAAAATAGCACAAATATTTTAGTTGGGGAACAATTTTTTTTAGCATTAATGACTACAAAGTAAATGTACATTTATGAGAGATCGAAAATAAAAATGGCAAATATTGTATACTGCATACTATGCTTCTGCCTATATGTACTTTAAAGAGCAAATTTTTTATACTATCATTTAAATGTTACTTTTAAACACTGCTAACAATTGTTTTATTTTACATGAAAAAACCCCCACCTAGAATCTAATCCCTTTCTTAATTCTTGCTAAATAAGAAATATTTATCATATGAATTTCAAGATTGATTTTAGAATAATTTCTAAAAGCACTACAGATTAGAAAAAATATTTATATGACATGAATGAGGATATTTCACCAGTAACAAAAATATGTGAGGACTCTAATTGGTTTCACTGTTAAGTAATTTGTTAATAATAGGAAATTTAGATACTTAAGGCTGGAACAGATTACAGAAGTTGTGGAAATGGAATCCCTTCTTTTTTTCTTTTTTTTTTTAATCCAGTGGGGAAGAGACAGAGAGAGAGAGAAAAACATCGATCAATTGGTTGCCTTTTGTAGGCACCCCAACCAGGGACCAAACCTGCAACCTAGGCATGTGCCCTGACTAGGGAAAGAAGCCACGACCTTTCGGTTTGCAGGACAATGCCCAACCAACCAAGCCATTCTGACCAGGGCTGGAAATAGCATTCTTGACAAGTATTTTAAGAGGATTAAATTATCAGCATCTATAAAATTCCACCTGGGGATTCCTGAGGAATGTTGTTGAAGTTATAACATAGTTACAACTAAAATTGACATAATGAAGTGATAGATTACACAAAGATCTACAGACGTTCCTATCTGGTCTGAGGATGACTTTCCCCCCTTCTAAGGGAGAAAAAACATGGAGCATGATTTATTAATTTAAATATTAAAATAATGTTTATTTATTTAAATATTTACTATTTAAATAATTAGTATTTAGTTAACAACAATAATGAGTGATGGCAGGTAAAGCAGGAAATATGTATCTAGGCTCTAGGAAATAATCTTAATATATTTATTTAGCTTTCAAAGAGTTACAACAAAGTTTATTTAGTAGTAGAGTTATAAATCTCACTAGTGACACGAGTCAATATTTCTCTCTTCAAGTCACTATAACAGTCAACTATGAGCAAGATAAAATAAAGCATTTAACAAATGAGTATCCAATCAGAATATATATGTAAATGTCTTAAATATAAAGTGCTATATAAATTAAAACATGTTACTATCAAAACATAAATTATTTATTGCTTTGCAAAACTAAAATGGCCATAATAACATCATATAAAGGTTTATCATAGATAAAAATTAAAAAAAAAAAGGACAAAAAAAATCTGCCTGCCAAGATCAGTACTGATTTCTTGATAGCCAACCATACATGTTAAAATAAAAACTGCAGTTATGTACCTCAACCACACTGAGACTCAGAAATAGATGACATTACTATATATATTGTTCATAAGACACACTTCTGAGCATTACATAAACGTGTGTGCACATGAGCAAAAATTATACTTTTTCATTCTCCTTCAAATAACTCTTTTGAACACGAGTAGCTTTATATTGTTTTATTTATATAACAATAACCAAAAAGCCCAACAAAAAAAGTGAAAACAAAAATTCCACAAGAGTCAAATAAATAAAAACAAAGACATTAACATATTAAGTAGTTTTGAAATCCCAAGAACACGCATATTTCTGTATAAATTGCTGCATTAGTGTAATTTATTTAAGGTTACTTTTAAGACATGCCTAAGGATATAATACTGAATATATCTCAGTAGAGAGGAAACGTTTGATGATATCTGTAAATGCTCTCTCTTAATATTTATAAGCTGAGATAATGTCCACATATGTAGCTCACACTATATATGTAAATCTTGTGATTGTCCCTTCCCTGGAATGCAGCTTTGCCTAATATACAACCCAGCCATAAGATTCAATGGACCCTATCACTTAAGGTACTGCTGTAAGAACAGCAGCGAATCCCGAGTGCTGTATAGAAAAAGATTAGTCCAAATTTTCCTCGGTGATTCTCTTCAGAAAATCCTCTCACTGGGATAATTTCTTACACTAGCGTATAGAATTAATACACTAATCTTTAAGCAAATGAATGCTGGAAACCAGAGTTAAATTCTATAGGCTACAGACTGTGAGGGAGGGAAGCACAGGCTTTACATCAATAAAAGCAATGCTTACTCAAAAAACTGTTACAGCTCTAAGTCATAGTTCTAAGAGAATTTGAAGAAGCCATTAAAAATACTAATTTTCTAATCAAAATTGCCAGTTTGTAATTTAAAACAGCTCGTACTAATTAAGCTTTGTTCTGACTCATTCAGAAACTTAGTTCTACAATTATGGATGTGCTCAGTACATATCCAGTACCCTGTTCCCACAGGATCAAGTGTTTTTACTTATGAAATGACTGTGTTGTGCTTTAGAGGCCAAAGAGAGGGCTAACATCATCCTGTGGGCACCATCCTGTGGCATTTTCAAATCACACTGGCTGGGTAATTCTTATTCAATCAAATCCAAACTGCAGAGCCATCTATTAATCAATCTTTAATTACATTATTCTCACATCCGAGAGGTGCTTGCATAGCATTTTTGAGTTAAATATGTTCTCTATGTTTGAATACTTGGAAATACTTTTTAAAGGTATACTTATATGTTTCACGGGGGCCCAATTCTCTTACAGTAGTTAACCTCGATAAAAGAGCTATAGTGCTCAAGAAAAGAGGGCTCAGCCAGGAAAGAGCAAATTACAGACCAACTTAAAATTACACAATCAGTCCCGCAGATAGTTAATCTTGAAGGGAGGACAAAACTCGCCAACACTGAATGAAAATAGACAGTTTCCCCTTCTTTAAGTAATTGAAACATGAGAAAACCCAAGTTTATAATGCTTCCAATTTGCCCAACAGTATTTCTCAAACCAAAAATGTTCTGCCATGTAATTCAACAATGCATTCTCATAAATGGTGCATTTAAAATACTATATGTATATTTTTGGATATATCTCTTCAGTCTCTCTTTTATAATATTTATACATCTTAAAGTCAGGTTTCTAAGCATTCAGTGGCACATGCCTTAAGTTATAATACACTGAAAGTTAAGCACACCATTAATATTTTCAATACCTGACATTTATCAAATAGAGAAACACTATTATAGAGAAACCAGAAACACATCCTAGTTTATTCAAGCCTTTAACCGCAAGTTATCAATGACTGACATGGGAAGGACGAACCCCCACTGCAGGAATACCGAAGCAGAGGCAGAGACGCCATACGGTTTGTGCAAGCTTGCCATCACCAGCACTTATTTAGTTCTGAGAGGGAGTCACGTGCTGGTCAGGACTCCAAATGCACACAGGCTCAGTTTCTCAAATTCCCAAGCACGAAACAGAATTCCTGCTCACCAGGACTTTGTGGTGGACACAAGAGCCCTTTCTCGATCCATTTCTACAGCAGGGAAGAACTATGGTAGTCACCTTTCATGACAAGTTAAATAATTATTAACAACAAGAACTGCTTATCTTTAATATACCTTGCACTGCTAGAAGCTGCTCCTCTGTGGTCCAACGGGCATTAATTTTCTGATTTGACTACAAAATTAAAGAGAAGTTTCCTAATGAGGATATGAAGACAGACATTTTTCCAAGTGCTCATTTTTTAACTTTTCACCAAATCACAGACATGAGATTACTAAAATTCTGATTTTGAAGATTCAATTTTTATAAGGATTAAAAAATATATGAGTTACCTTTTACCCCACCAAAAAAAATAAATAAATAAATAATGAAAGGGAAATGCACCGATTTGGGAGAATGAACAACATTCACAGATATTATCTAGTCAGAGAGATTAAAACTGAGAAAAATCTATTAATCACCCATTTTCCAACTAGTGTTCCTATCATCCCACTGCACATGTTCAGTTTGGCCTCGTTTTAAACATTTGAGAGACTATTTTCTTTAGGATCTGTGACTCCTTCTAAAATCTCTTCTCTTCACATTTAGATTATACCTATTCTTACCCTACCCAAAATAGTGCTATATAAATTAATACAGAACGGTGTATCTGAAAGTTAAGCCCTAAAATATTTCCTTAAATTTCTGAAGCAGAAATTTACCCATTACAAGAATACTTCTCCCTCAAGGCCTCCCATATTCCTCTCAATATTTTTGTTTCAAAAAAATCCTAAGTTTAGAATTTTTATTACAGCCATATTACAGTATTAAACACCTGATCAAATTTCATTAGTGTACACTCACAGATGAGTAATCAAGGACCTTCGGCAGTAAAGGAAGGAACTGAAGTACGTACGCCAGCCTACAGAGGTTTGCGGTAGAAACGGCGCAGGTGAAGCGCCCCGTGTGCTGCAAGGACATGCTGGGCAGAACAGAAAGAAGGGAGGACTTCGAGAAGGGGTGTTAGGTCTTATTTTACTAACTCAAAATTTAAAAACATTATTAGAGAAGAAAAAAGTAAGATAGGACTTCGAGTAAGAGAAGGAAAAACCTGAAACAGAAAGCACCAACTTCTAGATGATGAGACTAAAATAGGATAGCAAGGCCGGCCAGGCAAAGACAGCAGGTAATCCTCAAGGTTAGGCTATCGCAAAGGAACACCAGGAAAAAGAGAAAGAGAGGGAACAGGACCTGCAGAAGCAGTCATAGGGAAGGGGTGAACTAAGGCCAAAAAACTGAAAAGAAATAAAAAGATGATAGAGGAAAAACTAGGAAATTTAAACATATGTTCCCCAAAAGAGTAATGAGAACGGAGTAGGAGCTAATATCTGCGTTAACATCCGGGCAATCTGATTATTACCGTGGCTGTGAAAAGTGCAATAGACAGAAGGAGGCCCTTGGTACTCAGGATAATTAGAACTAGAACCTATTTAAAACACGCTCAAGTATTTCAAAGTGAATGGTTAAAGAAATAAAGGACTAATTGCTTTGATTTAGGTATGAAACTAAAATTTATGAAAACTAGCTTGTTAAAAAAATAGTAATGACTTCATTTACATGTTGCATTTTATTATTATTATTATTTTTTGGCATATCTTCTGTGACTATACAATGGTATACCTTTTCCCAGCTGTGAAATTTATAACATGAGCATAGAATGGGTCATCTTTTGTTTTGAAGACTTCAACGATTTTCTCAAGGGCCTCTCAATTTTTGGTAATCAAACTAGACTTTTTTGAAGTACTTATCTATGAGTCATCATCCTTTTTTCAATTGTTAATTTTGCTAGATACCCATCTGTCAACAATGTTGCAAGTGATTAAAGTCACTCTCTTGTACTTTGATAGACTTCATGAAGTTTTGCATCTTTTGAGAGGTTTACAATTTCATTTTGTTTTGTTTTGCATTTGTACTTTATTAGTGAGGGAATAATCAAGCAAGATGTTGATGTGATGGATGGGATAGATAACAGCAGAGCCCAATTTTCTAACTGCTCAGCTTATGAGTATTTTTCTTGTCTGGCAACTTTCACTTCTCCATGCATCCCTCAGATAAATGAACATTTGGATACTGAGGGTCTCCTGTAGTACACTGCAAATTGTTCCGAGCATTAAATTTAGAATATATGTAGAACATACATAAAGATATATTCAGAATATATGTAAAAAAAAATCTAAGCACAGTGCCTGAACAAACCAAAGTTGAAGTTGATCAATGAATGTTTGTGAAACCTGATAGGCAGAAACTAGAAGAAGTACCATGGAGGAAAAGGGAACAAAAAATGAGAGAAAAATAATGTGCACTATGAAAATTTATTGGAGATGGGGATTCAAAGATGAGAGAGAAAAAGTCACAATGAATGGACATGGAAAACACGGGAAGTTGGAAGGGCTGGAGACTGACACGGGTTTAAGAACAGGGCCGGAAAGGCCGTGAGGAGGAGAAGGCATACCGCGAAGAGGGAACGCGAGAGCTGGTGTCAGGAAGGAGTGACAAGTACGCGTGGAAAGTTGGTGGTATTTAACTAAAGTAAAATATCGTAAGAACCACTTTTGGAAGGACAGTAAATACCAAGGTTGATGAATTCACACTAAATTTAATAAGCAATATATTGTGGGTGGGGAGGGACCAGAGGGAGAGGGGTAGGATTTTACCCAGAATAAGACTTTGAGCCTAGAAAGCTGGAAGAAGAGTGATACTGTTAAGCACGTAAGAGGTTAAGAAATGCTGATCTGGGAAAGGCTGGAAGGCAAAGCTAAGAGGATGAATTTAACTTAGGGTACACTGAAAATGAGGTATTAAGCAGGACATTCAGGTGGAGCTCAGGGTGCACTTGGGGCTGACATAGATTCATCTATTCAACATAGTTTTACAGGTCTGGAAACTGTTTATGAGGGAAAATAATGGGAGTCATATCTTACTCAGATGTGAAGGCCTAAAATCAGCCTATGAATTAAAAGAAGTTTTGTTTTGTCCTGGAGACAGGCACAAGCCCACATGGCCAGGGATTCCTCCAGCACCGGACTGGACCACTAGACCTTTAGTTAAATCCTAAATCCCAGACAAAGCCTTTGGCTCAGATTCAGGGTATTGAATGAAAAACATAAACACGTATTTAAATACTAGAATCTCACTCAGTTCAAGGCGATACGCAGGAGGCATGTGGAAGCTAAAACTGAGTACAGGAAGAGCGGACCCACCCTTCCCAGGCCTGTATGTCCAGCCCACGCAGGGCATACACTCGATATATGGAGTTCAGGGCAGAACTGCCAGCATTACTGCGTTTGCTATGACTAGACATTCTCTTTTTTTTATTTGGTTGAATGTCTATCTTTGAATTTGAGTCATTTAAATATACATATGATGTGACTTTAATATAGTCTAGTGATATGATTGTATGATTTTTCCAAAGAGAAGAGATAGAAATGAATTCTGAGGTTAAAAACTTGTAGAATGCCTATATTTATGTATAGAAAGGAAAATTACAGCTGAGAAGGAGGCGTAACAGTTAGAAAAAAGAACATAACCTCTCAAAAGTTAAAGGAAGAAAGAAAGGTTTTTCATCTATGTCCAAGGCTCAGAAAAAGGAAAAGGAAATGAGGAGCTAGAGCTGTGGAAATTGGTCATTAGCACCAATGTGAACCTTTTAGAAGACACTTCAGTGGAAAAATGCGAGGTAGGGGTTGAAATCATACGGAATTCAACAGTCTATGTGTGACAAGATGGAAGCTGTGAAAAAGGGGTCAGACTGAAAAAGAAAAAGGGTCAAATATTTTAAATACATAGGATTCTTTTAAGTTACCGATTTTTATATTCTCTTTTAAACCCAAGAAACTTCAGTAGGGATTTGTTTAACTTAAGGAAAGGACAACTAAAATAGATCTAGGAATCTAAAACCGTGTGGTAGTTGTGGTTAGCTGGGTGGTGCCACTGAGAACATTCTTCTACAGCAAACCCAGTCTGAAACACCACTGTTTAAAAAATAATAAAATGTTAATATAAAATAAAACAATCCAATACAGGGGTGGGCCCAAGGTAGGTTTATAGCTATGAGTACACGAAACACAGTTTATTCTTGTATTCAGCATCATCACTGCATTCTTTCCCTGCTCAATTAATTTGTCTTTATATCTTTCCCATTTTTGTCAGTAGCAGATTTCTAATTTCTACTACTGAGTGGGAAGAGTTAGAAAGGTCACCAAGTCAAGCCTTCTACCCAATGCCAAAGATTCCATCCAGCATCCATAATGAAAGAATGTCACTTAACCTATGCATGAAAATATCCACTGATGGAGAAATTTCTAGCTTCAAAAAGCACTCCTTTCTAAGTTTCTTCCTTCCTGGATTCATTACTCTCCTGCCCTCACCAACCTACCTCCACCCAAAACAAATCAGAGCATAACCAAACATGCCACCACTCCCAACATACTCACATACTTTAAGGACATACACTAATTTCTACTTCGCTATGTTCTTTGGAGTTATCACTTGATGTTCATTCCTACAACTAATACCTGGCCCTACCTGCTACCCCTTTACCATTTACTTTATTGATCATATGCTTGGTATTTCAGCAGCTGTAAAGTTTCTAAATTATCCTGTATAACACTGACAGGATAACTTCCCTAAAATGAAAAATTTTCATTACATCCTTTCTATACTGAAGGAACTATAGGGTCTTTCTATTTACTTCATTTAAAAGGCAGACTTCTCTTCTTAGCTATCACAAAGACTTTTATACTCTGGCCCTTGCCTGCTGATCTCTACCATACAGAAATCCCTGTACAACTCTACCCTGTTAATAATCTCTCTCACAAATGGTGTTCATTGATCCTCTGCATCCAAGTTTTGCCTTCCTAAACAGGCAATATACTACTTGAGAAAAGACTGATTTACACTACCATTGCATTCTCAATAGTAATTAGCACAATAATAGGCACATAAGAAGTGTTCAGGCAATACCTGGTAACTGGTTCTTAAAAATGCTTTTATTTTCTCCCACTGGATTTGTATTTTGAATGTACCGTTTAACACCAACCCACTGTTCATATGACTCCCTCCGCCCACCCTCTTTGTATGTGAAAAATCCTCCTTATCCTTCAAACCTCGGCTGAAGCGTCCCCTCTAGGAAGCATCCCGATGACCCCAGCCAGAATGAATGATGACTGCTTGTTTGCCTTCACACTTTCCTTATAAATCTACCATGTAACTTTAAGCAGTTTCTCCTATAACATCTAGACTGCAAGTTCTTTTTTTTTAAAGCAGATGGAAAACTCCATCCTTTTCTCATTTTTGTGTGTCCCCCTCTTTCCCAAACATACACTTCTGACAGTTCCTAACACAGTACATTAAGTGGAATAAGTGATCAATACATTTTTATCAAAGTATGAAATTTCCTCATCCAATTTTTCCCTAAATGAAAATAACAAATACAACCAAATGAATAAATAAAGCATTTTAGTGACTGTTTACTTCCAGTTGAGTTATATCATTTAGTTCCAAAAGTTAATGAAATTCCTTAAGTTAGAAATTCTTTTGGATAGGTAATATCTAACCTAAAAGTTAGGGATATAGATTACATGATTTTCTCAATGTCTTTTACTATGACTGTTAATCTAGTATTCTGAAATATGTATATCTATCCAGGTTGTTCTCCCCTGAAAAACAATAGGAATAATATGATAAATATATGTTGGGCATTTTCTAGATGATAAAACATACATGCGTTTTCAAGTCATAGGAATTCAATAAATCAACCTCAAAGTAATATTCAAACTTCAATGTACAAATCATAGAGGGTTAAGACTGTGGTTGTTTCATTTTGATTTATTTTTACAATAAGCCAAAAGAGGTAATAAATGTTCAGTAACTTCTAACCTAATAACTGCATTAAAATGGGAGACTCTACTATACAATTTTCCTGTTACACAAAAATATCTAAAAGAGGTAGCGTGCTATAATCTAAGACTACACTTGGACTCTAAGAATCTGAAATATGGACGGAGGTTCATTATTTACTAGACATATCACCTTGATCAAGTCAGTTAACCTCTCTGAGATCCACTTACCTCATGTAAAATAACAGTACAGGCATTTGTTTCATCTACTCTGAATTTCTGTGAGCATCAAATGAGGTGGCACATAGGAAAGTTACAAGCACTATTACACTTTCAAGTCTTATTTTATATAATGTTAATGAGTGAGAATATCCTGCAATTTTCTGGAAAATTTGAGGTTAGAATTATCATTACCTTGAAAATTTAGTAGACTTTTTCTATAAAATTGTTTGGCCCGGGTGTTTTCCTCTGAGAAAAATGTCAATTTTTCTTTACTTTTATTTAATGATTATATATTATTCAGGTTTTCTTTCTTTTAAAGATAATTTTGATGAGACATTTTCCTAGGAATTGCTAAGTTTTGTTTAAATTTTCAAACATATTGGCATAAAGTTCTTTATGGTTTCCCATAATGTTTTCAGGATCTTATGTATTTTTAAATTTAACTCTTAAATATATTTTTAAATTATAGGCATTTTAAGTTTTTTGCTTTTATGCATTTTAATGAATAACTAAATATGAAATTAACATAATTTAAATGCAAAATTTACAATAACTCTGTTGTAATAATATAAAAAGTACAGTAGTATTCTTGACATTACGCTGTTTTTAAATAAATACATATCAACAGAATGTGTGTCAGTTTACCTGTGGGTTTTGGGATGATATTAGTCTAGGTATATTTCATTTTTTTTTCCATTTCCTAACCCTGAAAGAGATTATTTAAAACAAACAAAGACACTTCCTTCATAATTCTTTCTTCTGCGAGCCTATAATGAGTGAGATGGCCCGGGGGCACTAGTTCTGAAGCACTGCTTCTCCTACTCTCCCCGGCCCTTCACACGTATTTCACTTAGAGATATTTCAGTCAACCTGTGATTTCAGGGGGATGTCCCATTAGGACCAAATAAAATGATTTGATTACTATATAAATAGAAAGGCAAGTCCAGGATATGAAGCATAGTATAGGAATCTTTAAAAAAAAAGAGAGAGAAAAGATTTCATAATAGAAGCTTCCATTAAAAAGACTCGATTGGAGCTTATGGGCATTTAACTCCTACAAGTATCACAAATATCGAAAACATTAAGTATCAGTTGAAATACAAGTAAGACGTGAAAAAATGGTCAATCTATATCTTTTTTTTTTAGATTTCATATTCTCAGGGATGTAAGTACAAGAATATAAATTCACATACTATAATCTTAATTGGAAATCTGAGCCAGACAAGTATCTTAAATTAAAATGAAAATTCATTAAAAAGATCTCCTTTTTCTTGCTGTGTCACCAATTCATACAAGCAGAAAAGGGCTCTGAGCAAACACTGCTATAGACCCAGGAATGAACTGGCTTGCTCATCAATGACCTTCTAGTTCCACATGCACTGGGCCTACTTGTATAGTTATATTTCCTAATTACTTTGCTTCACAGGAATTGCTAAGGGCAGGAAAGAAATGATTTAATTTAAATCATTAGCCAAGCCTCAAAAGACTATCTAAATGACAAAAAATAGATGTAACAAATTATCCATATTATAAAAACCTTAAACCTTCAAAGTATTAACAGTATGACCAAAATAGTAGCTGAACACTGGATAACTCAAAGAACAAGATTTCACCATATTTAGTCACATAGTTTCCTTAATAACGTACCTCAGGAGGTTTGAATTCTTCAATTCCACCTTCCATTTTCTGTTTAAGTGCACTGTTTACTTGCTTAGCATTCTGAACCTTCAACAAAAATAACCCAAATATGAATCAGGACATGTATTTAGGTGAATTTCTGAGTATTTAATAAATGAAAAGGATATATGTACCAAAACTTCTTAAATATTATTTCAGGAGGATAAACACCACACTTTAATCACACTTAGGGTGAGATACTCCACTAATCCAACTAATATATCCATCAACTCATATATATATAATCTATTTAACAGATTAACAGACACAGTTCACAAATCATAGTATTTGAATGTCTTTTAACAATGTCTCTTATAACCAAAGATATATGTTATATATAGGAATTAAAGCCCATCAATATTTTTCATTACCATAATGTATTGATCAAATAACAATTATTTCAAAAAGAATTGCCTTAGCCAGCGTGGCTCGGCTGGCTGAGCATCATCTTGCAAACCGAAAGGTCATGGGTTTGATTCCTGGTCAGGGAACAGGCCTAGGTTGCAGGTTTGGCCCCTGCTTGAGGTGCATAAAAGAGGCAACCAATTGATGTATTTTTCTCTCCTTCTCTTTTCCCCTCCCTTCCTCTTGCCCCCAAAATAATAATGATGATGAAGGTGAATGAATAATGTGTATTAGGTATTTATTCTTGGTGCTCCATGTTACACACTGAGCAAGGAGAATCATTAAGACAGCTATTGTCAGGCAAGAGGTGACAAGGGCCCGCCCGAGGGTGGCAGTGATTGGATTAAAAATGAGGGGGGGTTTGATTTAAACTCACACAACTTGGTTACCACTTGTTTTGTGTGTGTCAGGGCAGTGATAATGGCAAGGGGTGAATCAAAGATGATTCTGATGTTTCAACAGAAAGCAGACAGAGAAAAAAAAATCTTTTGGGGCTTAGGTGAAATGTCCAGCAGGTAGTTGGAAATATAGCTATAGAGCTTAGGAGAAAAGTCACAGCTTGAGAAGTAGATTCAGCAGTCCCTGGCATATAGTGTAATGTTGGTTGATACAGACCAAAAAAGTACACACTTAGAAGAGCAACTAGATAAAGGGTTAGAGTAAATAACAACAGAAACAATCAAAAAAGGGGAAAAAAAGGTTGAGAAAGGCCAGAAACCTAGTAACAGCCATTCATTGAGTACTTACTCTGTGTTAGGCACTGTTCTAAGCACTTATGCTATCTTTTAAAATTCTTCCCAACCATCATATTATTACCCCCATTTCAAGATGAGGAAACTGAAGTTAACAGAAGCTGAGCAGCTCCGCTGATGTTACATAGGAAGTAGATGGTGTAACCAGGGTTAGAACGTGGGCTCACTAACTCCAGGTGCTGACTCAGCCACCACCTGATTATGATGATGATACTTCTAGAATACCACTGCTACTACTACTACTGTTGATAGAGATGAAGACAGTAGCCATTATTCACCGAGCCTTCAAATGGTCCAAATACTGCTAATCTATATGTGTCATCTCAAATAATTCCCAACAACTTATAGGAAAAGTACACTTATTATCCCCAATTTCATAGATATACAAGGGGGGACCCCGAAACCCCCAAAATATATTTATAAAAAATGGTGTATTTATTCTTACATGTTTAAACTTCAGTCACCTTCAAAGTCCTCCCCTTTTGATGTACTACACCTATCGAGAAATTTTTCCCACTGCTCAAAACAGTTTTTGAACTCAGATCTTGATGCCTTTTATTGCTCCTGCTGGGTTTTTTTTTTTTCCACCTCTTCCACATTGGCAAAACATTTCCCTTTGAGGACTTTTTTCATCCAGGAAAACAATAAAAATAAAATCACTTGGGGTGAGATTGTGTGGACAGGGAGGGTGGGGCAGAGGGGTCATGCTGTTTTGGGGCAAAAACTGCTGAACCCTCAGCACAATATGGGCAGGTGCGCTTGTAAATGACCCATCATGACATGGGCAAGTACGTTGAAAGACTCTTCAAAAAAATTCACTGAAGCTGAACACAGCCTCTCACAACAACGCCGGCTAGTGCACTGATACAGATGGGTTCCTACAACACTCACCTAGCGGGGGAAGCCTGTAAAAGGGGCCCACCCTCCAGAAGATAATTCTGGGTTTTTTGGTCCCCCACTCGTAATATTGAAGCATAGAGAGATTCTATTATTTCCCACCACAGAGCTAACAGGTAGTAATGCCAGGATTCAAATCGAGAATAGATAGAGGTATCTTCAATTTGTAAACATGGTACATGTTAAGGAATGAAGTTGATGTAAATGGTCACTGAGAAATGTGCAAAAAATTGAGGTCAAGTAGATAAGCAAAATGGACAGAATCATTAAAAATACGATTTTTATAAAATACCTGACGTTTTAAAGAGATCAACTCCATGTCCAGTTGCCTCAGGATGGTATTGGCTGCATTGGGACTACACGAAACGGCTACCACATCTTCCTGGGTTAAATACATGCCCTTAGGAGGCCGGCACTTAGAACGCTGAGAATGATGGCGGTGTTGTAAACTCTGATACTCTCTCCTTCCAAGCCCGATCTTGCTGGTCTGGACAGGTTGTTCAGTATTACCCTAGGAGAATACAGGTAGAGGAAAAGGTCATTTGGTTTTTAACATGAGTAAGTTGAAAACTGTCTATTACTAGTAGAAGTAGCTGCTACACTAAGTACATCTAGAAAAATATTTCTAACCAATTAGGTCATGTATGAGTCTAGACACACAAAGACACTCACACACATTCATCAATTAGGGAAACATAAGCGTACAACCTAACATACTCTTGATTAACCCACCCAATAAAATGTCTGATTTCTGTACCCAGAGAACTCTGAAAAAAGAAAAAATAAGTTGGACTCTAAATTATTTCTGTTTTTCTTTAAGAGGGGATATATTTCCCCTAAGCAATAAATGGCCAAAATAAATAAATAAATAAATAAATAAATAAATAAAAATTTTAAAAAATTGCTCTAACATTAAGCACAAAGCTTTTTTTTTAAGAAAGTAAAAAAAAGAGCAAATTAGGAATTATGAGAGGTGGTAGGAATGATGAGAGGAAGTATTAGACAGTTGGTTAAAAAAAAAAGAGGTACTTTTCATCCTTACTTTATAGTTGTTTAAAGAGGAGTATGCCTCTAACTAAAGGTTAGAAAGGACACAATTATCTTATTGATGACATTTCTAAACTTCAAGTTTATGCATTTATAAATGAAAGAAAATGTGAATTTTGCATTTTGGAAGACATTAATAAATTTATAATAATGATGACCATGAACCAAGAAGGATTTCATTATTGCTTGCAATACTCTTAAAATGTAATATAAAAATATCATGTTATTTTGTGCTTTTGAGTCATGAGTCCATTAGAGGCTATGTCTACTAAGTTGAAGGCTATTTCACAGAATAGATTTAATCCAATTCTTTAGACAAGGAGCTCTGAGCAAAATTATAATACAATTACATAATAAAGCATAATCCACTTTGTTGCTTAAAAGCTAACTCAAAGCTGCACACGACAGACTTGACGTTTAGGGAGACTCCTCCCAGTTCAGCACTCCTGGAATTGCTGGATCAAGTATTTTTGGAAAAAAAAATCTTTCAAAATTCATTTCTGAGCTGGTAGGGAAGTCAGGAAATTCCTCAGAGACCAGAAATGTTTAGAAAGCAGGAATCCAGAGGGAAAAGTGAGTATGCAGGAGTTGGCATTTGCCTAAAATCCAGGCTTCAATGCACAGTGGGTACCGGGCACAGGACATAAAATGGAACTCTGGAAGGGACCTCACCACTGTACAAGTAGAAAAAAATGCCCTTGCCCCACAGAGGGAGAAAATCATTAAAAGAAGTCATGCCTACCTTATTCTTGGCAGAACGGAAAAGAAACCAAAACAAGTCTCCCCTGTGAATCCCCTACCATAGGCCAACATTCAGGTAGGTTTGAGGACTAAATTGTTATCACCTGTCTGGACTGAAAAACTCAAAATCAAAAATTTAAAGTGTTCCAGGATGGTAGGGCTTTCCGACACTTAGTAGAAGCAAATGCTAACTGTCTCTAGAAAAGTGCACTTTAAACCCAGGCCTCAAATTTCTTCTCAGGTGTGCTCCAAGGAAAATGAGCTCACTATCCCAGGTTGCTATACAAGTCCTGTGAGTGAGAGACAGTGAAGCAAACAAGAGAACTGTACCTGCAAAGACTGCAAATATTAGCATTACTAAAGATAACACAATGAATGTGCTGTATGTGTACAGAGAAATAAAATAATTTAAAACATAGAATATTCTTATAAGGAATAAGAGTCTACCAAAACTAACAAAGCAGATATGCAAAGGAACCAGGCAGAACATCTAGAAATAAAAAACATTAGAAACAAAATTAGAAATTCAGTGGATGGGTTACTTAGCAGACTAGACAGAGTTCAAAAGAAAATTGTTAACTTAGAATGTACATATGAGAAAAATGGCCAAAATGTAGTACAGAAATATGGAAAGACAAAAAGATGGAAAATATGAGACAAGTTAAACAGGTTGGGGCAAAAGTAGGTTTATAGTTCAGACAAGTTAAAGTCCATTACACTTCCAAAGGGATTCCCACAGGAAAGGATAGAGAAAACAAGGGAGAAGCAATATTCAAAGGCAAAAAATGAGAATTTTACAGAACTTAAGAAGACATAGGACCCAGAAGATTACAGTGAATCCAAAGCAAGTTAAAAAAAAAACACCATACTCATAAACATCAAACTGAAATTAGAGAACACTAAAGACAAAGGAGAGATCATAAAAGTCAACAGACAGAAAAAACTAATCCAAAGGGATGATAATTAGACTGACAGCAGACTTTTCTATGGCAATGACAGAAATCAGAAGCAATAGAATAATATCTTCAAATAATACTGTCAACTCCTAGGAGTCTTACCCCAATAAAACTAAGGTTCCAAGAAGAATGGAGAAACAGACATTCTGGACATCACAAAACTGACTGTGTTATAAAGAGATCCTTGGTAAATTAACTTGTAAAGGATTTACCTCAGGAAAAAGCAAAAGTATTTTAAAAGGTCTAAGATTTAGGAAAGACTGGTAAGCAAAATAAACTTTAAACATGGTGGTAAATCTAAATAAACACTAACTATATGTTTAATTTGAAAAATTGGAACCAAGATCTAATTAAAACTGGACAAAAATAACATAAATCAGGAATGCAGTGCAGTCAAAGCACTGTAAGGACCTTGTATTAATCAGAAATTCATTAAAAACACCAAAAGTATGCAGGGCAAAATTCCCAGAGTACATGTAAGAAGAGGAATACAAAAACATCTCAAACTAGTGAGTTAAAAAAAATGGAACAAGAGATGGAGTCTTAACTTAAAAAAAAAAGGCCACGAAGGAGGGAAAAGAAAACAGAAAAAACGTGTCAGATAGAAGATAAAAATAAAAGAGAACAAAAATAGAAATTGATCAGTGATCACGACCAATACAAAGGAACTAAACTTCCAGATAAAATATAAATTCCCACCTGTATGCTCCTCATAAGACATACTTAAAACATGAGGAGACAGAGATGTTAAGTCATAAACATGTATCAGGCAAATCCTTAACAAAAGAAAAATGGTACAGTTATTTATAACCAGACAAAATAATCTTTAGAGCAGAAGACACTGCAAGAGATGGAAGATCAGTGCATATTCACAAAAGATTTAATTCAACCATAAGATTAAAACAATTCTAGACTTCTATGTACCTATTAACAATAGCTTCAAAATATAGAAAGCATCAGTTCTCAATAAAGCAGAAAAACAACAACAAAAACCATGCTAACGAGTAGGCGAGCAATAAGAAAATATAGATTTCAATCACAAAACCAAGAAGCTGAAATTAATAGACACAAACAAAACCTTGTAACTAATAACAGTATACATGGGTGAGCAAAACTAGGTTTATAGTTGTTCATATGGAAAATACAATAATTAACAAATAATAATACAAGAATAAACTTGGTTTAGCAAACTAACAACTGTAAACCTACTTTTGCCCACTCTGTATATTCTTCTCAAGCACATACAGGAAAATATTTATGATAATTCCATATTCTAGGCTTGGAGGTTTTAAAATTCAACCAAATTCCTCAACATTCCAGCCACTGAGAGGTGTGGCGGGTGTGGGGGGTGTGGGATCTGTATCTCTTCTCCTTGATACTGGACCAACTTTTGTAACTCACTTATAACCAGCTGAACGCCAACAAAAGTGATGCTGAGTAACTTCCAAGGCCAGTCCAGAAATGGCTGGGTCGTTTCCACTTAGTGCTTTGGGGATGCTTCCTCTGGAGCAATCAGCCCATGGTAAGAAGTCAGCTTACTCACAGATCACCAGGCCAGAGAGGAATGCTAGCTGACAGCTAGCTATCAACTACCAGTCAGGAGAGTGAGTCAAAAACATTCAGTAACATCTTGCTTGTTGTTAAAACATAAAAAATTGTTGTCTAAAATCAGAGATAGGATAAAAATATTTGCTATTATAACCTCTTTTTAACAGTATAAAGGTGATTCTAACCAGTTCAGTAAGGGAGAAAATAAAAGGTATGTAAGAATTGAAAAGAAATAAAACTGCCATTATTTTCAGATGATATAAATCTCTACATAAGAAATACAAAATAACCTATAAATAAATTACACAAAGATTTCATTTCTTCCCAAGTTATATGTAGATTCAATGGAACATCTAGTAACATCTAGGGCTTTTCTAGGAATTTCACAAACTTGAAGAAGAGCAAATGCACAATAGCAACCAAGTACTTACTCCTGAGAACCACCAAGTAGTGGGACTTGCCTTATGAGCTATCAAAGCTATAGTAATTAAGACACTGTGAGACTGACAAAGGATATTTAAATGACAAAACAAGCAGAACAGAGTTAGGTACACAGAATGGGGAAAAGTAGGTTTACAGTTGTGAGTACACTACACACAGAGCTTACTCTTGTGTTATTATTTATTAATTACTGTATTATTTTCCATATGAACAACTATACACCTAGTTTCACCCTGGTTATAGAAACCTCATACATGATAAAAGTGACATTGTCCACTAGTTGAAAGAGATGAACTCTCTTCTATATTAGAAAACAAATAAATAAAAATGAATCTCTATCTCATGACATGAACGAAATTTAATTACTGACAGACCAAGTACTTAAATGTAAAAAGTGAAACTTCAAATATAAAAATATTGAAATTTGAGTATCTACATGCTTTTGATGTTCATCGTAAGCATGAAGAAAATTAATAAACCACAAACTGCTGCAAGATCTTTTAACACATTTAACCAAAAGATTAGCATGAAGGCTATATAAGAAATTTAGTAATAGAAACATTGTTATATGTTCTGGCATCAAGAAAAAACAGAAAATAATCTAATAAACAGATGGAAAAAATATTCAGCCTCATTAGTAATCTGATGAATAAAACTGAGAACACAATGAGATACTATTTCATATTACCAGATTTGTAACATTTTAAAAGTCCAATTATATTAAGCATTGGCAAGGAAGTAATCAGTACTCTCATGGCCCAGTGGAAGCACATCAAAC